ATATTATGTTAGTGTGTTTATGTAAATCTTCGTATCGGTGGAGTTATTTACAGTGAACAGGCCAAAAGAAAGTAAAGATTTGTTAAAGTGTTTAGAAGAAATTAACAATTCATTACGGTTATGTTGAATCACCATTGCATTTTGAAAGTTTATAAAATATGCTAAACTTCACGGTGGATTATTTCTGAAGCCCCCGTCGATTGTTGGCGTAATTTATTTTAAAAGAATACAAGATATCTTGACGATATTACAATAGCTCTCGACTAGTAATTTTAGGCGTTGAGAGACGGGAAAGTACATTTGCGTATTCATATTAATTTTATATTAACTAAGATAAGAGCTCACAGGAATCGAATTTCAGTGTTTCACTACATATGTTATGCACATCAATTTTATTTTAGAATTTCAATTCCGTGAATATTATGAATTTTGCTTTCTGAAAAAATTAACATAATTTGTGATGGATTTGGAATGCGGTGAAAATTATTTAAAAAAAAATGTAAAAAAAAAAATTAGCTGTACTACATTATGGTATTTGACATCAATTTAGATTTTTCTTAAATTTCGATTGTGAATAATTAGGATTCGTTTTTTGCAAATAAAATTCTAAATAGGACTGTTTCGAAAATTTTTCCATGATATATATAGACTTAAAAGAAATTAAATTAGACTTAACATAAATCAAACTGGACCTAACATAATAGTTTTGGAGAGAATGTGATCTTGACAGGGACAGAAAAGATTTAAAGGAATATGAAAGTTTTTTGGGTATTTTGAGTTTGAGTGAAATTTTGATATTGTTTTTAAAAAAATTATTTAATATAATTTCTTTATATGGTTTGTTTATTCTTACTCATATCTGGCTTTGTTGATGGCTATCAAGTTGCGCATGATTAGAGTTATCAATGAAGAAGATTTAGAATCGTTCATTTCGCGGTGTAATAGCATTTTAGTACGTTGAAATAATTGCTTATTAGAAAACATTTAAATAATTTTTGGCTGCTGGATTTTGATGGTAAATTATAAAAAATTGTAAAAATTTAAGGGAACTTACATTTTTGTTGTACATTTCTTGAGTTTTAGATGAGCACACATCTATATGATATAGATGGGAATTTAGAGGGCTGGCAGGTACATTGCTGAAAAATTATGTGTTCCTTTCTAAAATTGATATAGGGAATTAATGTAAGTTGTTTTCTTAATTAATTCAGAGAGTTTTTAAGGACGTCATTTGATCACCTATTTTTCTTAGGTGCTCAATATTGATCATTGGAATGTTTTACCTTCTTCGAGTGGTAATGATGAATATCGATAGTCGTCTAAATAAGTTGTGTCGCCCGTCTTGGCCGGACTATGATGGTGAAGATTAACTCGGCGACCGGCCGATCGACGAAATAAATTGCCCGCCGTTTCCATGGAAGGGAAGGTGCGAAGCACGCGCCCACGCGCCCGGCCCGAAAATTGCACGGACCTAGGACGCGCCCGGTGTATTTGGTGCTCGCTTCGGGTCCGCGCGCATTATAAACAATGCACTCGTCTCGTACTTAGCTCGAGCGTGAAGTTCCCTGGTTTAATGGAAGCCTATAAACAACATCACACTGGTACACTTCGAGAGAGGACAGCCCACAGAGAGCCCTCGCGCCCGTGAGTTATCACGATCTCAATTGTGTGCATTATGCACTGTATCCGTTCGTTGTTGACTAGTGGTGCACCGTGGGAGAACAGGACAAGCCGACATTCAAATATCAAGCTTGACTTATGATATGAGTCCTCATTTTGGAGCTTTTACTGACGAGAGCTGTCAATCGGGATGATTTGCTTGTCAAAAATTTGACAAACACGGAGCCCTGATTAGGAATCTTTCCAGCCAAGGACACATAAGCGGTCATAACGGTCTTTTGATCGTTCTGTCCCCAAAAATGGTCAAAAAACGGTTATTTTGTGAGGTTGTTTTGGTCATTTGCTTAGGGGCTGGTTCTATATATATAGGGGGGGTTTCATTTGTTTTCTTCACACTAAAACTCATCTACTTCTCTCTTATACTCTTATACTCTCTTATACTCTTATACCCTCTTATACTTTCTAATCCTTTCATCAAATGGCTTCCAGATCTGATTATGAAGAACAAAACCTATCTCCCGATCTTGAAATGAGTCCTCCTATTGGGTCTACTCCTACCAAAGTTAATCCCGAATCCGGTGGCGACGAATCTGCACCAAGAGCTCCTAAAAAGGCCAAGATCCGATGTGTGGAATTTTTACGAGAAAATCGACGTCACAAAGGATGAACACGGTAGGATCCTCACCCAGAAGGCTAAGGGTACGTTGTGCGGCAAGATTTTTCAAGCTCATCATAAGAGCGACACCAACCACCTCAAACACCATTTAGATAAACACAACAAAGGTCAGACTCCTCAAGGTGATATCCGATAATCTATGATTTCTCAATCCTCCTCTTCTGGTAGTCTTGGTAGTTGGAACTATGACGCTGCCAGAGCCAGGAAATGCGTAATCAGGTTTATCATTCTTAAAAATCTTCCTTTTAAATTAGTAGAAGATGATGAATTTGAAGATATGTTTAGAGATGGTTTTTATCCTGCATTTAAAAAATTTTCTCGTCAAACCTGTCAACGTGATATTTTAAAATATTATCAGGAGGAACAAAGAAAAATAATTTCTTATTTTAAAAATTTAAACTGTAATTTTTTTAACTTCTAATATTTGGACATCTAGAGCACAAACTGGATATTTATGTATCACAACACACTGGATTGATGAAAATTGGCAAATGATTAAAAGAGTTGTTTTTTTTATTGCAATAGAAGAGTCACATACTTGTATTAATGTTGCAAATTTAATAATTGAAGAACTTTTGAAATTAGAAATTTCAGAAAGAATATTTTCTCTTTCACTAGATTATGCAAGTAATAACAATGTAGCTGTTGATTTTATCATATCAACTTTATCATTGCCATGTCATGGTGATCTTTTTCATATTAGGTGTATCTGTCATATTTTAAATTTAATTGTTCAAAGTGTATTTACTAAAATTAAACCCGTGATAGAAAAATGTTAGAACAGTTGCTTATATGCATAATGCTTCTGAACAAAGACTAAAAAGATGGAAACAATTTTGTAAAAAAAAATGTAAAGTCCAAACTAATTCCAAAATATGTTGACCATAGGTGGAATTCCACTTATGCAATGTTAAGTGTAGCAATAGAATATAAAGACATTATAACTGATTTTATAAACTATTATGCTTCTAGTTCTAGTTCTGGTAGCTTTTATGAAATAACTGAAGATGAATGGACAATTATATGTAATTTAAATAAAATGTTACAAGTTTTTTATAATGCTACAATGTTATTATCTGGCTGTTATTATCCAACCATTACTTTAGCTGCTTTACAAATTTTAAATATTCAAATTTTTTTGGGGAAATATCGTATAGATGATACTTTTGGACCTATGATTTTTCAAATGGAGAGCAAAATTAATAAGTACTTTAGGCCTGTTCCTCATATTTTTGGTTTGGGGGTTCTTATTGATCCATGCTTGAAGGATATTGGCCTTCGAAGTTTGTTACAATCCTTGTATGGTAATCAGATTATAGACTTAGATGATGGAACCACCCTTACTGCTACTACTCATCATTTAGCTATTAGAAATTATTTTCAAACCTTATATGATGAGTATGCAGCTAAACATGGTGTAGCTACACAACAGTCTACAGGTTTGGTTTCTTCGAGCTCATCCCGAGGTAAAAGTGTAAGTTTAGATATGTATGCAATGGTAGCTGAGCTAACTGGTGGATTTAGACTTGGATCGTCATCATTGGAGGTTTCTGAAATAGATGAATATTTATCTGCTTCTTTAGTTAAATGTCAAGGAAATGCTTTAGATATTTTGCAATGGTGGAAAGTATATGGATTAGTTTCATATACTATACTTTCCACCATGGTTCGTGTCTTACTAACAGTGCGGGTTTCGACGGTAGCTTCGGACTACGCCTTCAGCACAGCAGGACGTTTGATCGACGACCACAAGACATGTTTAGATCTGTATACTGTACAAGTGGTGATGTGCTTACAAGATTGGTGGAGGTGCGAGAAGCGAACGTAATGCATCGATCAGATGGTTGGAATTGAAGATAAATTTGAAGAATTAGGACTAGCAGATAGATATAAAGAATAAATAATATTAATCAAATTGTAATTTTTATATCTTAGCTTAAAATTTGTAAAGAATTATTTTGGAAATAGTTACAAATGATAGTGATATAGGTGAGTAGGTGCCAACCTAGTTGGGATGTACTTATCTATTGTGATGCGATGAATTCCAAAATAAAATTGTACTTGTAATTTATAAATGCTTTATTAATTATTAATAAAGATTTTTTATTATTTTTTATTTATAATTTATGCCATTTTAAGTGATTAATAAAATTATAAATTTTTATTAATTTTTTGTCTTTTTTTTATAATTTAAAATTTAAATAAAATTTAAAAAATTTGATAAAAAAAATAAAAAAAATGTAGAATAAAAATCCGGGTCAGCCCGGAACCGGCCCAATCGACCTGGGCCCGGGGCCGGTTTCCGGGCCGGCCCGGTCGGGATGGACAGGCCTACCATTTCCGCTAATAACAAATCATATTCCAAATTTAAATTACATCTTAAATTTTTTTGGAACAAGATTACATCTTAAATTAAACAACTCTTTCGGACGAACAGACAGTGTCCTCACGCGCCTCTCACCCGTCGGCACCGGCTCGTATTCGCCATGTCTCCCATTCAGACCAATCACAATCCAACACGCGTCCTAAATACCAAAACACCCTGTTCTGCCGTCCACAGCAAATCCCAACCCCCTCCCTTCCCCCAATCATTTTCCATTATTTAAAGCCCGAAGAAAATTCCAACAATCTCTCTTTCTTTGAAATTCGCGTTGCCCTAATTCGGAGAGCAGAGGCCAAACCCTAGAAAAATTTCAATGGCTCCCTCCNCGAGCCTGGAAAGATCGCGATGTACTCGCCGACGTTTTATGCTGCTTGTACGTTTGGAGGGATTTTGAGCTGTGGGTTGACTCATACGGCTGTTACTCCGCTGGATCTCGTCAAGTGTAACATGCAGGTGACGGTTTCTTCTTGTTTTTGATGAGATCTGTGATTTTTAGGGGTTGGTTAGGGTTTTGTGATTTGAGATCTGTTGGTTTTGTTTTTATTATTGTTGATTTACTCTTTATACGATAGAAACACTTGTAACTTGATGAAAATATCAGATCTTTGATTGCTTTGAGTGTTTATTTGATTGATTAGGGCGAGGCTAGGGTTAGGGTCAAGTTTGATTAGGGATTTGTAAGTTTAGATCTTTGCTGTTGGTGGAAGTAATTTTCTCATTATTTAATTTATATTGTTTTTTATTGATTTGTTTATGATTTCAGATCTTTGATTGTTTTGAGTCTTTATTATATCTGTTATAACTTAAGTTTGAAGCTGGGAACTTGGTGAAGAAATTTATTGGTTTCTGAATCTTCGTTATGAATATATCTATCAATAAAAGTTTCTTATGATTGTATGTTTTCCAAGGCTTATTTGCGGATCATTGTATGAATTTCATGTTGAAAGAAATAGCTTCTTTTTTGTTTTTTTTTTGTGTTGGGGGGGGGGGGGGGGGGGGTCTCCTTTGAAGATTCCTCAGCTTCGCTATCGATTATAATACACTGATCTAAATTTGACAGTTTTGTAATTTCTCTTGCTTGTCAATTTCGGATTTCTTCCAATCTTTGTATATTGTTTCTTTGTTGCGGGAGTGACTGTTTGATTGACATTTCAAATTATAAGGGAACTTCTTCGGATGCGAGACAAAACCTCTTTTTTCTGCTTTGGTTGAAAATTTATTAAATATTATTTATGTCATTATTAGATTGATCCTGCAAAATACAAGAGCATCCCATCGGGATTTGGAGTCCTGCTAAAGGAGCAGGGAGTTAGAGGTTTCTTCAGGGGATGGGTGCCAACCTTGCTTGGTTACAGTGCTCAGGGAGCTTGCAAGTTTGGGTTCTATGAATTCTTCAAGAAATACTATTCAGATCTTGCTGGACCTGAGTATGCAACTAAGTACAAGACGCTGATCTATCTAGCTGGGTCAGCATCTGCTGAAGTGATTGCTGATGTTGCTCTTTGCCCCATGGAGGCTGTGAAAGTCCGAGTCCAGACACAGCCAGGGTTCGCTAGAGGATTGAGCGATGGGCTTCCGAAGTTTGTCAAAGCTGAAGGAGCAATGGGGTATTATTTCATGGGGCTTTTATTTCATTTTGCTTGAGTTTCCCTTCTTGTCATCATCACTGATGGTTTGACATTTACAGATTATACAAAGGAATTGTACCACTATGGGGTCGTCAGATTCCTTGTAAGAAATTATTTTCTTCTTTCATAGAGTTAGTTAATATCTGCCATTATATGCATATGTTTGTTGATGACTCTTAATCACTTTTCTTCTTTCATAAAGGTTCTTAACAAATTTTGACCTTGATATCTGATGTTGGTGACTCTTAATCACTTTCAAGTTGTTTTTTAGTTTATCTTATGTTATGCCAGTACTTCTGTCAGGTATATATTTATTACTTATTCTATTAAGAGTAACTGGGACGCTTGTGTTGAAATGCAACTGCACAGATATGACTTGTATTTTTGGGGGAGCCATCTTTGATATAAGTTTCTTTACCAATACATTAAAATTATAATTTTCCCCCTTAGTGCATAACAATTAGATTTATTTGGGAGGTAAGGTTTATTTTTAATTCGAAAAATGTTTTTTCCCATCCCAGTTAGAATTGGTTTTCGTCCATTTTTATTTTTCTTCCTTCTCCTCCAAGGATACTTCTTGTATTCTTTTTCTGCTTTTCCTCCTGAAATAAAGGTTTTGCTGCTGCTTTTAGGGCCTGTTTGGCTATTTCCAAAAAAAATGGAAATGGAAATGTCACTTTTCAAATGCTTTCATAACATTTCAAGACATTTCCCAGTTTTCTTTTTTTATGTTTGTTTTGCAAAGAAAACTCTCCTTTTCACTGCCAAGTCACACAAAAAACAAAAAAAGCCTCCATAGTAACAGTGTTGGACATTTCCATTTCTTTTGTTTGTTTGAAAACAAGAAAAAGAAAAAGAGAGAAAACCAATTTAAATAATATGTTTTATTCTTCATAACTATTCAAACAGTGCTTTTAGTAATAAATAATTCTCTGAAGTGACATTTCCCAGTGTTTTCAGAGGTTTTTGTTGTGAAAACACATTTCTTAAAAATATGAGGTGGCATCCTATGTGGCTTTTCATTTCCCAAAATTTAAAAACGAAACAAACACCTGAAATGGAAAACTTTTGAAATCAAAATCCTAGGTGGCACAGGGGGGTTTTCTTGAAAGGTGATGTGGAGGGACATTTCTCATTTTTTTAAAGCAAACAAACAGACCCTTAGTTGATTATTATATACTTCATTATATTACTACTTGATTTTTCTTGACTTGCTTCACTTATATGCACATAGTACTTTTTGAAATCCCTTGATGGTTTTCGAGATTTTATGTGTGCATACAAAAAAATTGTCCTTTCTGCTTGATTATTCTCCATATGCATGGAATTGCACTCCAATGAAGCAGTCTACAGTATTATCTAATACCCTTATATGTAGTTATTCATATTCTTCTTGCACTTCTTTTCTGTCTTGATTCTTCTGTTTTTCAAACTCATTTGCAAATAGTTCTTGTTGAAATACTATTGCAATCTTCACAATTTTATGTTTGTATACAATACTGTCCTCACTGCTCCAGTCTTTTCCAAATCTTTGGAGTTGCACACCAATGACGTGATCTGCAGTATTATGTACTACCTTGACATATACTTGTGCTTAGGATTTCTCTGTTTTATTGTCATCCTGTTTCTTCTGCACTTTGAACTTATTTGCCTTGAAATCAGACGATGTATCCTCACTGCATATAGTTCTTCTTGGAACCCCACTATGATTTTCAAGATTTTATACGTGCATACAACAAGTTGTCCTCACTGCTTGAGCCTTCTCCAAATTTGTCAAATTGTATTCCAATGAAGTGGTCTATAGTGTTATCTACTTGACTGACATGAAACTGTTTGCTTAAGCCTATGGTTTCTTCTCCATCTTGCTTCTTCTGCTCTTTGCCAACTTATGATTCACATAATTCTATTGGAATATCGTTGTGCTAACTGGTCTTCAAGATTTTATACTTCACATAATCTTGTTGTAGCTGCTTTAGTTTTCTCAAAAATTGTGGACGCATAATCATGGAGTGCTGTTGTGATCACTGATCTTTAAGATTTTATACATATATAATATAATCCTAGCTGCTTTAGTTTAATACTTCACGTAATATTATCCAAGCTATGTTAGATTTTATACTTGTTATTCCATCTTGATTATTCTGCACTTTATCAACTTATTTGCACATAGTTCTTCTTGAAATCCCACTATGGTCTTCAAGATTTTATGTGTGCGTACAACAAACTGTCCTCACTGCTTGAGTCTTCTCCAAAATTTTGGAGTTGTACTCCAATGAAGTGGTCAATATTGTTGTCATGGCTTGCAATTATGCATATAACACCTTTTTTAATCTTTCTTGATTCTTCTGCATACATCAAGTTATGGTTTGCATAGCTCATTCCCATTATGAACTTTGAGATATTGTGTAAACAGTCATCCTCAGTGCTTGAGTTTTTTCAAACCTTTGGAGTTGCAATCCAAATATTTTGTGTAAAATTTGTTGTCACTGTTTGAGTTTTCTACAAATATGTTGAGTTTCCCACCGATGAATTGATCTGTAGTATTACCTATACCATGTTGCATCAAATTTTCGTCCAGTTTTTTCTTCTGCACTTTGTAAACTAATTTTGTTGCACACAGTTGTTCTTGAAATCCCGCTATGATTTTAGGATTTTATGCGTGCATATAACAAATTGTCCTCACTGCTTGAGTCTTCTTCAAAATTTTGGAGTTGCACTCCAATGAAATGGTCTATATTTGCTCTTTGCTGTATTGACAAGCAACTTTTCATATAATTCCTCCAATTTTGTACGTCTTGATTCCTTTACAATTTGTCTATTATCTATTGCAATGGCATCCAGTTTCAGCCTTCCAAGTACTGGCATGTCTGAAGAATTTCAAGTACTCTTGCCTTTGAGAGTTTGATCTTAGGGTTTTCCTTGTGCTCCCCGTTCATTTAATAATTGCTTTTGTATGCGACAAATAATCTGACAAGATGTTGTCAAAAGATCTATTATTTATTAAAAATATTGAAGGAGTCGATAGCATGCCACTGAAATTTATTTGATAATTTAACGGAGGAAAGGTTGTAATTGAATTTTTTATTAACAGTTGAATAAATTTTCCCCCTAATTCTTCTAGGTTAATGAGTGCAAATCTTAGTGTGTCTGCATGTGTGGAGTTGTATACATAATCTAAATTTGATATAATCTATTGTACCCAAGAGCTTTATTGGGAGTGCTATCAGAGTTTATATTGATTGCAATTGGGACCTTGGTTTCAAGTGTTTGAGGAGCTGATGGGAATATTTAACTGTTAACCTGATATTGAGATTGTTTTGTGTAGACGGTTAAGCATGTAAAAGTGTCTTTTCTCTACAGAAGTTACCATGCAAAAACTGTTTCTTTACCAGTTACCTTTGGTTAGATCAAGTTCTAAACTTTTCTACCTATCGGTGGCAGAATTGCATTTTGGTTGGAAATGACCTGATGTTTATATGTAGCATAGAGATATATGTATGTTTATGTTCATAGTTCTCATTTCAAATTTATTTTCTTTCCATGCCTTGGTTTGGCTATACTATGCATTATGTTTTCATTCTGATTAGATGTCAAATTTAACTTACAGACACGATGATGAAATTTGCATCCTTTGAGACCATTGTTGAGATGTTATACAAATACGCCATTCCCACACCAAAGGATCAGTGCAGCAAAACTCTTCAACTGGGTGTGAGCTTTGCAGGTGGTTATGTTGCTGGAGTATTCTGTGCTGTCGTCTCTCACCCAGCTGACAACCTTGTATCTTTCCTCAACAATGCTAAGGGGGCAACTGTTGGTGATGTAAGTACTATATAGTACATAATCACAATGGTCGTATCCTTATTTTAAATGTTTAATATCTGGACATTTGCTCACTATATTTTGTTTGTTGCATATTTTTTTTATATTTAATCGTGATCAGGCTGTGAAGAAACTTGGAATGTTGGGCTTGTTTACCCGTGGGCTCCCACTCCGAATTGTCATGATTGGTACTTTGACAGGAGCTCAGTGGGGTATTTATGATGCATTCAAAGTCTTCGTTGGCCTGTATGTACTCTTTTAACTTCATATCTTTATATCTATTTTTCTCTTCTAAAGCTAGTTGTTTTTTTTACAAAAGGTAGTAGTTCTTTTCCAAAAAAATAGGCACAGATAATGCATATGCATCTTTGGAGTTCAGCAAATTGATCTAATTTGGTTCTTTGTGGCTGAATTTCAAAAAACTACCATGATCTTAGATATGTTTTAAGAAAATACCACGAGCTGTTTTGTTCAGTTACCATCAACTTCATATCTTTCAAGATAGATAATCCTTAGTTGAATTTTATAAGTTCAAATTTACCCTGTTATGTATTTTACCCAATAGTAAGCCGAAGAAAAATGTGAACTTTTTTGTTAATTATTAATGTACAACAATACAATAGTACATAAAGCTTGACATAAATTCTATATTACCTTACCCTCACTTCATCCTTTCCACACCCATGTTCCATAAAGTAAATAGACTTTGAGGCATGTAATAACTTCATGATATTCTTTCGAAATAATATTTTATTAATACCAAGAAGTTACAATTGCAATTGTTCTTTATTTCACATGATTTTATTGTAGTGCATGGGGGGAATAACTGATAGTTACTTAAGTTCTTGTTAATCTCTGGGAAAATAGTTAGGGGACTTTCGTATTTTTTTATTTTTTGAAAAAACGCCAATTTTTATGGTTGTTTTCGAAGATATAGGCTTTTAACCTATACTAGGATGTAACACGTGCTTTGCACGTAATGCATATTATGTAACGATATGAAAGTAAATATTATGTAACGATATGAAAGTAAACATTCAAAGGACAATTTATTGACATTTATATTAGTTTTTCTCTTCATGAATTTGCATACTTGTATAACTAATAGATTGATGTTTTTTTTCCATAAATGAGTGGTGAACTCGGTCGTAGATTTCTTCGTTTCCTCCAAAGAAAGCAATATAATCTTCTCTCTCAATTATCACTTGTCAAATCTTGTTAACTGCTAGGCATTCCGGTTACTATAATCAAGAGACTGTCTCTCTTTTCAAAATTCTCACTTCCACCATTTTTTTCTTTTGATTCTTTCTTTTGTGCATTTAAGCATCCATATATAACATAATTTTATGTCTCTTGAGATCCAAGTAAAATGTTTATGGAAATAGATTAGTCATTAAATAATTAGTGCATACTTAATGAAGAGAATTTAATTAGTCAGTTTGAGAAGATACATGAATGTTTTCATTATGGGTTCATCTCTTACTATTCATATTAAATGCATTATTAGTAGTCTAAGAAAGGAAGATGTCATAAATTAATTTATTAGTAGGATCTAATTATTATATTGCAATAGTTTTTTATGGAAAAAGATATTAAGACACATCCAAACTAAACTAAAACCCAGAAGCACAACAAAAGAATGTGGATAAACGTTGCTCCTTATCAAACTGCAGAATATTGTGTAAAAACGGTGGTGAGTCTTAACTATAATGAAATCATTAATTTTCTTAACTTCGGACCAACATATGAGCCATTACATTCCTTGTTTGACAAATTATCTGAAAATCTCATTTCTCGGGTGATGTGCAACATCGCTGAATATCATCCACAAAGTGTTTGAAATCAAGTGTTGCTCCGCTCCATTTTGGATATCTCTACCTCTCCACGTCCAATGTAAAGGGCAAATGTAATAACTTCCCATATTGCTTGGAGTTCCGTTTGCTCAGAATTATCTTGTTTCCAAATATTATGATAAGTATTTTGCAATAATTAGTAATTATATTATGATAGTTTTATATGCTATTTCCATAAGCTAAGAGGTTAGCATTTATCTTAGTATTCCTCTCCATGAATTTTTTATATATCAAACACATTTTAGTGTATTGTAGTATTAGATTAGATGTTAGGTTTTTAATTAAATATTAGATTATCTTAAATTACAACATAATTTATAAATATAAGTTATCATATTATTATCTTAAATATTAAAATGGTATATTTATTGTATAATATATGATATCTAAAGTGAAATATCTATCTTATTTAACATAAGACTAACATGATTAAAATTTATGATATATATTAGTTCTTATGTTTATTGCAAGAATAATTATAGTTTAAGATCGTGTAGATCAAGTTCAACGGAGCGGATCGCAAAAACAATTAGGGAATGATGTGATTTCCTTAGGTGGGAATCTAATGCGTCACCTTAGGAAAACATTTCCATATATATATATTTAGTTTCTAATGTTAGTTCTTATGTTTATTGGATGAATAATTATAGTGTAGTAAATAGAATTAATTGAATAAGTTTCAAGGTATTATTGGAAATCATCAAATTGTGGAAGGGTAAAAGAGTTAATCAAAAGTTTTAACATCTCAATCCTCTTTTATAAATAGTATAGATTTATCTGGTTGGACATTGTTTTAGTACTATGTAATGAATTTTTCTTTCGGTTATATTATTGTAAGTCATGTCTTAGCCAAGATATTGATCTGTCCTTCTGAAGTGAGGAAAATCAGAAGTTTTAGAGGAGAAACAAAGAGAGACCATTTTAAAACAGAGGTTCAGTTAGAGAAGGAAGATGCATGAGTGTAGTCACTAGAGAGCAGTTACTTTAGCAGTATATTAATGCTTCCGCTAGTTAGTGCGATTAACTTATATATATATTAATGTTTTCCTAAGGTGACACCTTAGGTTCCCACCTAAGGACGCGGCTTAAAATCACATCATTCCTTTTTTTTTTTTGCGATCCGCTCCGTTGAACTTGATCTACACGTTCTTAAACTCAAACATCAATTTTGGGGTGAACCCATCGTGTTTTGACCCTTTGTTGAGCCGTGTAAAAAGTTCTATTCATTCGAAACCGTTAAAATTATGGTGAGTGGATGAAGGGTCAAAACACGACGGGTTCACCCCAAAATTGATGTGTTTGGGTTTTAGATTGTGTAGATCAAGTTCAACGGAGCGGATCGCAAAAACAATTAGGAATGATGTGATTTTAGATCGCGTCCTTAGGTGGGAATCTAATACGTCACCTTAGGAAAACATTTCCATATATATATATATATATATATATATATATATATATTAGAAAACGGGAGGTGAGCTGCCAGCGTAAGAAATTTCCTACGCTGGCGCCATGTGTCAATATCTTATTCGTTGGATACTCATTTATAGAAATAACAGATTTTTGAATGGTTAAATTTATAAAAGTTAAAGGACTTAGATGTAAAAAACATAAATCTCTCCTGATTAATATCTTCCTTTCATAGATTTTATGCTTGGTACCAAGCATACCGATATTTCTCATATATATATATATATATATATATCATCAACATTATTTTTTGAAGCATATGCAATGTTTACTATTTTATGCAGCTCATCCTTTGCCACATCTGTGATTAGAATTGCATGTTTCTTCTCACAACTTATGTTACTTTTTTACTCGCAGGCCAACCACTGGTGGAGCTGCTCCTGCTGCGGCCACACTCCAACCTGCAAAATGAGCAACTACTCATTTTTCATTAAGTGGTTTTATTTAATAACAAAAGTTTCACTGATTGTTTTGCTCCTCTGCGGATGGGGTGTATAATATTTTTTTTTGAAGCATAGTTTTATTTCCTATCAGCCTTCGGAATTTCAACGGATGGTTTTGTTCTGATCTCATCCTCCAGACACGAGAGAGCTCTAAATGATGGTAAAGTTGAAGATATATTTTTTGGTGTTGTCTCACATTTCTAAAAGAAATTGAGTAATAAATTTTGGATTAGAGGCAGTAGTTCTGCCTAGTACTCTCTCTGTTGTTGTATTCTTTCTTTTGCATCTTCACTTCTGGAACTGCCATTTTATTTTCTTGCGTCAAGTGCTCTCTCTCTTGTGATGAGTTTTTACTGAACTTTGATAAATGAACTTCATTCTCATCCTTCAGACATGAGTTTACTCTTTGCTATGATCAAGGTGAAGATGGTGTTTTTGGTGTTATGTTGCATTTCTAAAAGAACTTGAGGAATATGCTTTAGATTAGATGAGCAAACTCGTTAAATCAACTACACAATCTAAATTCGAATATTTATCAATTGAGACCTTATGAGTAGTCGTACAACAGCTCTCGAAAGGAGCCAACAGCATATGTTTTGACTGTGTTAAATAAATAATAACAATAAAGAACCAAATGAAACAAAGAAAAGTGTTACCGACAAAAAAAAACATTGATAAAATATGGATCCAAACAAATGAAACAAAGAAATTAAATGACGACGAGAAAGACGCCATTCAATGTGTTTATAAACTTATATGTACAAATAAACACAGACATAAATGTATAAATTTACATAGGAGCACGTGTGTCATGAAAATCTCATCTGCATCTTTCACCCTTCCATCTTTATGCTGCCGCTTTCAGCATCCATCGAAAACATATGGGTATCTGTTTACTTAACAAATGAGGAAACAAGTCATGACATGGAAATATGTACAGAAATTAACCAACATTGAACAAAAAAGATTATTAACATGGAAATATACGTATTGAAACGCTAAAAAGATTGACTACATTCACATCGATGCAGTAAAACAGACAAACACAGGCTCGTCCAGAGTATAGGATCACTTTGATTCTCTGCAGCCGTACAATACAATATCCAAGCGAAATCATACATGTATCTTTTCTCCAAGTGAACAATAAGCATAAAATCTTTAATTGTTGAGAGAGTATCATTTTAATCAAGATTTTTTGTTATAATCAAGTTTCCACAATTTTAAACCTAAATAAGCACGTGCAATGAAGTACCATTTAATTTTAATGAAATTGCAGGCCTCGATCTGATGGATATTGTCTCATTTTGTGGACATGAATCTGGAAAAGTCTGATATAAACCAAAGAAATCATGATCAGGCCAAATTTGATGAACCTCAAACTTTCCTATTAGGTTGATTTCAGAATTCAACTGTCCAAGTTTTCACATATAGGAATCTGAACCAATTATTCAACAAATTTGATTTCGGACCATCGCATCTAGCCTTAGAAAAGAATTTCATATAAAATTTTTAAATCAAATAACCATTCATAAAAATTGAGGCATGTACCTGTACAAATGTAGAATTCTGGTTCGTCCATGTATTACATGAACCATATTTATGAATAGACCAGATTAAACGTACCAATAAAAATCCTTCCATTATTAAGTTACCAGTTTGGTGTTGATAGCAAAATTTTCAGTCAATAAACTGATAGCTATAAAAAGGGAGAGGATTCAGGACGCGTACTTGGAGATGATATACAGTGAATCATAAAGTGTAGCAGGATGCAAGGATGGCCACTTTTACATTTTTTCTGGTGATTGTCTTCCATGACATTCACAGTAAGTTTAGATAAATTTTTTCAGCATACCCACCAGAGGCGTAGAGTTTCCCGTGGAGAACACAGGTATTGAAAAGGCCAAGGTGATTCTCTTAAGCGAAACCTTTCTATTTTACTACTCTTTAGATGGGTTAATTGCATTTAGACCCCATGTACCATCGCGCTTTGGAACTTATTGTCCCAGTAGTTTGATTTTGACAGATAAGGCTCTGCTGGGTGATTTTTTTTAACTCCTTTATCATTCGTGAAATTTTGGTGGATATTACCCTAGGTGAAAACAGTGAGTCTGTCGGAGGATGAAAGAGTCAAAAGAATTCCAAGTAGGGTTGTCAAAATCGAAGTACAAGGTTATAAGTTTGTGTGTGTTCAATTAACCCTTTTCAAATTAATGAAACTATGTACGGCTATCTTCAATAATGCGTATATTGTTCTTGTTAGGAAGTATGACCATACTATAGCACAAAAACAAACAATCATCTATGCTGAATTGTTTTTCTAATTCTTTCTAATATTAAATTCATTATAAATATTGTTTTAGTTCTTTTGCCTTGTTGGACACTATCCCCAACCAAAAAGAACATGTTAGAGCCAATGTTTTAAATATCGGATATTAGGGAGATATTGACGAAGAAAATCCATATTGGACTACAAATATTGGGGAAATATCGGGGATACATAGTAAATATCGGAGTGTCATATTAGTGACATGCATATATAATAGAATGTCCTAAAATGTAATCTAAACATAGTTGATGAAATCTAAGCATACAAAATGTAAATAATATATGTATATGATCCTTAACCAATATTTTAAAACAAATAAAAGTCCAAATCAACATCGCAACATTGCATCCAATTTTTTTAGGCCGAAATGTCGTTAGATATATTTGGAAACTCACAATATATCGTCCAAAAATTGCCAAAATTAGTATATTATTTTCCGACAAGTCATGTAAGAAGACATAACGACCAATATCAACTGGTATATTCGCCATGTCAGGGACATATTGCCCAAAAATGCCAAAAAGTGATAAAGAATATTGAAATCATATCATTTTGCAGAAAGGCTTATGAGAGTATATATTGGCCGATATATCGAACCATGTCGGGGATATTTAAAACAATGTTTAGGGCAGCACTTCCCATGTCCCATCCATGTCTAATATTAGAAATATGTAATCTTTATCGACATCAAAAAATTGTGTAAGAAGTATGAAATGCCTCCTTAGCGAAGAGACATCCATTTGCTATCATACATTTGTTCCGGTAGATATATTTTTATCAGTTAAAATGCATATATACTAAAATAGACACATATATGTGTTGTCCTCATGTCTGGTATCTAGTGTTCGTGCCCACACATGAAGCTTATGTTTGTGCTAACAAATAATAACTCCTAGCTATGCTAGATCTATATCATAGTTCTCCAACATTGGATATTTAAGAAATAATGTTGGATAAACTTGAATAGATGTTCTGATAGAGATCATAACATAATAGATTTCATTGTTAGTTGCATCATCATCTGCCTATAATAATTATGAAGTACACTTCACAGAGGAGAACAGGCTCATGTGCAATATGTGTCAGAACCTGATATTTATAACATATTTGACGTATTAAAGACATATCAATGACTAAAAAATTGAGATCCAAAAATATCATGTATGAGTGATGGGTTTTAGTTGATAATCCAATTTGATTTATGCAAGTTCTTAGATGAAGCAAAGAACAATGACTTAGTCAAGTAGCCATTGATTCAGTAATAATACAATTTACAAAGTTTAATTTATAATAAATGACCACACATTTACTTAACCGAACAGATTCCACACACAGATGCATACACATGGACATACACTTACAGACTGATATGTATGTATATATGTCGCAGGTATGATAAGTTTCTGAATTCAATTTACCTTATAGAAGTGTTAATATAATTTTCCACTTTAATAACAACGGTCACGAGGAAATGACTATTCAGGTAGCTACTTACGTTAGGATTAATGGTGGATACACACTTTCTACCATGATGGGGTATGCAGTAATAACCCCAAGACTCTTTTCTTTGCATGTACTCTCCTGGAACCACAGTCAACATTATTTCCTTGCCCTCCATTTCGAGGGAAGTGAAGTTTCTTTTCTCTCGTTAAAATGAAGGCAAAAACAAATTACCATTACACGATTATCATGAAATCTGTACCTAACTTGGGAAATAACATCGTCTGGAATTCAGGTATATGTAAGTGTCAATTAAATAAGTTTTTTTTGGCGGTTTTGTTTGGATTGAGGGGAATAAGGGAGAAGGAAAGTTAGGGGAACCATTCACCTTGTTTGGGAACACTTAGGAGGTGAAGTTATTTACCCTAGTTCCCCTTAGTTCACCCCTTAATAGTATAAAATTTGTTACCCCCCAAATTTGGGTGTAACCAAGGGGAAGGGAACTCCCTTCCCTTCCCTTCTCTTCTCTCACCTAGCTTCCCTCAACTTCCCTTAATCCCATTGAAATCCAAACACACCCTAATTGTCCAAGGGGTGTATCTGCAACTGACCCTTTATTTCCCAATGAGAAGTATTTCATTTTACCTAATGGGGGGGAAAAGATATAACTTCCTTAATTGTCGCATTTTAGTTCAGTTACATGACCTCAGCATTTAAGACACCTATCCGAAAGACAACAAATTGAAGCCACATGATTTCAGTTACATGCCCTTGAGCATTTAATATACCTATGCGAAAGACAACACAATGAGGCCGACATGATTCTTGTTTACAAGCATTGAATCTTGGACATTCCATAAATCAATTCAACCTTTTACCGTTGAGTTCGAGCAGTTAAGCCATGTGACCATGTCTCACTAAACATAAAATCTCTAGTAGTTGACAAATTATCATTTTGATCACAAGATTTGTTAGAATTAAGTTTCCACAAATTTAAATAAAAATAAGCATGTGCAATGCAACACCATTTAGTTTAATGGAATTTAATAATTTATGCCCTTGATCTCATAGCTAGAATGCATCTCTTGATGCATGATGTTCTTTAGAAGTTTTGTGGTCATGGATATAAAAAATATGATGTAAATTAAACCCCCAAGAACTTTTAGCATTTTGCAGTAAACCCCTAAAAAATTCCAAAATTGCACTAAACCCTCGATAACTTTTGGAGTTGCAGAAAACCCCTCAATAAGCTTCCGCATTTTGCAAATAACCGCCATAAGTTAGAACCAAAAAACAACATAAGAAGACATTTTGAAGGACAATTTCAGCACAAAAAAAAGGATGTGGGACCCCAACCTGAATGCAAGAGGAGAACGAATGACAAAAGACGAGAGATTTTTGTTTATAGGGTTGAAAATATAAAGAGGTAACAAAGAGATTTTTTAAATAATTTAAGGGATTTTGGTCTTTTTAAGTCACGTGAAATGCAAGTGTCACGTCAGATGTAATGGTGCTAATTTTGGGGTTTTTCTACAAAAAATATTGGGAGTTTATTGCAATTTTTAAAGTTATTGGGGGTTTATTGCAAAATGCTGAAAGTGCTTGAGGGTTTTAGTGTGCGTAATCATTGATCTGGAACAATTTCTATCCGATATGAAGTTGGAACTTGTTGCGAGAAACTGTTGATTCTGTATTTTCTATTGTTGGCCTAATGATGTAGTTTATTAATTATTAGGCAATAAGTTTTTTACTCGCGTCAATTTATCAATGAGTATGCTAGTTCTCTGCTTGCCATTTGGGACTAACATAACATTTGATGACATTGTTGATATCAATTTCTCTACTTACTGGTATTGATTGTAGAACATGAGGATTTGAAGATGAATATCGGAAGATTATTTTCGTAGAACACAAACCCTATTAGAACATCTCCAATAGGAGTCGGCTGTTTCTAGTCGTAGAAAGGATTAAAATTTATGAACTGACCTCATATCTTTCTCCGAAGGGTGCCTAGTGTATCATGAACGAGCAATGCCATTTCATTTCAGGGGTCCTCCACTGGCCAATCAAGTTGAAGTGAAACCAAAACCAGCATCCCAATCAAGACCAAGCAGCTATGCATAAACAGGAGATACATCAACAAACACGCTTAACAGTGAACAAAGTGTTCAGCATACACCGACAAAGGGGTGGTTCAAGTTGCTTACGAAGAGGACAAAACAAAAGATATAATGAGATTTGTATTCTTTGGTGAAAGACACGTAGGAAAGCACCTTGTAATTTGAAGCTCTGCATCCTTTCTAAATGAATATTGAAACACTTCACAGTGGAGTTTTTCATAAACCCACCTCTAATAAGCAAGAACAGAAATTTTATAGTATTTGCAAGCTATTTTCTCTTCCTTTACTTTTAAAACATATCTTCCAGATCTTTTAGAGTTGTAAGAGAACTATCCTTGTTTGCATCTACAAGCAATGTTGTATTATGATTTAGGTGTGACTGATTGGAAGATACAAAAATCCTTATGAAAGAAACTCACAAATGAAGGGGTGATAGGAAGCCAAGCCCATGCATGAGTTGATTGTTCAGGTTATTATAGCCTAATTCCTAGTAAGTCTCGAAAAATCCAAGCAAAGCATACTATGCCTATTCTCATTTCGATACATCAGAAGCAGGAAGTGAGTGACGATATGATATGATATGTGCAATGTGAATTATAGCAGAACATAAGTTCTCAAAAGACCTATTCTCAGTTCATTTGAAATAGTGTCATGTTGAAATATATGACATAGGCATCTGGGAAGCTCTAACATACAATCTCATGCATATATAGAGTTTTGATGTTCACCAATCACAACAATAGCCTCCAATCAGTCACAAGCTAGGTTGCACGGATGCGAGTGCGGGTGCGGACACAGATGTGGGCGCGGATACAGGATATGACAAATTTGTAAAAGATAGGATACATGACACAGCTATATATACATATTAAAATTAATAATTTAAATGAGATCAATGTTGTTTTTTCATTAACATGATATGAAAAATAAAATCCCTACAAAATTTTTATGTTTCTTTTATTGAACAATAGCCTCCAATCAGTCACAAGCGAGGTTGCACAGATGTGGGTGCGGGTGCGGAGAAGAACGTGGGCACGGATACAAGGCATGACAAATTTGTAAAAGATAGGATATGGTACACAACTATATATACATATTGAAATTAATAATTTAAATGAGATTGATGTAGTTTTTTAAGTTGTTTTTTAACTCACATGCTTTGAAAAATAAAATCCTTACAAAATTTTTATGTTTCTTTTATTGAATAGCTTGTAAATAGAAATACCACTTGTTTTTTAAATAGAAACCCAAACGATCCTGTAAAATCATGCATGTGAGTTGAAACGAATGTGACCTCAGACCAAAGTGTTGGGGTGAAGCGTTTGATATGTCCAAGAAGTCTATTACAAGTGTTTAAACTAAAACATGTAGGTATATATTCAAGAAGTGTCCAAGTAGTGACGGACATGGACACAGATACAGGAGCTTAGATGAAGTGTCTGGGTAACATTTGTCACAATTAACTCGCAGTTATAAAAGCTGACCGGAAAGAGAAAATTATGAGCAAACCTTTTTTTTCCCGTACTTGCAATGGCTTGCTCATGTTAACACAACAAATAAAGATGAGAAATCCAAGAAAAAAGATCTCAAAATCAAGGGAATTTTTTTTATTTTTAACCACGTAAAATCCAGAAGAAAATTCAAAGATAAAAGATGCAGTCGAGGCTGTACAAGATCAACAAGAAACCCCCAATTAAATATGTTATTGTACTATTCCAAAGATTACAAGTTGCTAGCAACCACATTATCACAATAACAAAAAATGTTGGCTATGTTGTAAGAAAAGACAATTTGCCTTCAAACAATAGTCTCACATTGCCTAGTGTAGTGAATGTTTGGTGGTTTAAATTGGCTCTCTTCTCCTTACTCCTTGATGGTCCCCAAGAAGGGGTGTTTTAGGCATTCAACATGTTTGGGCTTTGCATCACAAACATGTGCGCGCATGCTCGCCACGCCCACGCCAAGCGTCCCCACGCCGGCCCGCCCAATCGCGCATCAAAGCCCGCCCTCGTCCCTGTTTTTTTTTTGATTTTTCAATTTTAATTTTTCCTTTTGACTCGACAATTAGCAGTGGCTAACACGTTTTGCACGTTTTGATCATGCGCACAGTTTGCACGTTTTGGAGAACGTAGGCGAACATGGCGGAGAGTTTCAACAGATTTGGGTTCTAAAACCCTATAAATGCAGAGGCCATCTCAGTTCGGAAGACACACAACAGAAAAGAAAATCCTCTCTAATTCTCTTCCTCCTCTCAAAAACTCTGCTATTACTTACTGCTGTTGTTTAAATTTTTCTTTGGGCAATCCTCTTCATCTGAGAAAGAAGCTCTATACTCTCGTCTGAGTACAGAGGCCGACTGTTTCCGGAGACTTTTACCGTTATGGGAGAGGGAATCGACTGCACCAGGGCGATAGGCGGGTCCTTAATCTTCTAAGATATTGCTTGCGCGACTGCTTCCTGTATCAGGCCAGATGTTCTGTTTATTTTATTTCCGAATTTATTTGCATGCTAATAAGTTAAATTAATATTCAACTAACAATCTAGAAGATTGATGATTATAACTGCTAATTATTAAATCCGAATTTTTGTGTTAATAATTATAATTATAATTAATGGAATTAATCTTTTACTGTTAATTGCCGTAATTAATTAGTTACTGTAATTGATTAATTGTTCTTAACTAGTGATTAATTTTATTGTTAATTTGTTGTTTTAAATTTGAGAAAAAAATAAACATTATTCTGAAAGAAATTTAATTACCTTTTCTGTTGCGGTTAGAAAGTTAATCCGAAAGAAAAAATATATATTTATTGCAATTATTGCTTAAATTATAATTGTTAATTATTGTTTCAATTAAATTGTTCGATTTCATATTTACTGGTTAATATTACTAGTTTATAAATAATATTGAATCAAATACATCTTCTAAAGTCATATTCCTAAGTAACTAGTTGATTGGTATTGACAAAAACCTTTCATTCCCTTCAGATTTCAAATACCTAGACTAGTTAACTTGAGTCGGACTTATGACAAATATTGACCATTCCAAGAGTGTCAAACCTGAGAAGTTTATCAGTGTTAACTACAAACAGTGAGCTAATCAAATGAGATACTGGCTCACTACCCTAGGACTCTTATCTGCCATTGAGACTCTTGATTCTTCATCCATTGGATCTCAACCAATGACCTCCAACTCTCTTGTTTATGGTCCTGAACCTGAACAACCTACTCCTTCCACTTCTGCTTCTGGTGCTAGTTCCTTCTTTAGTTTTATGAAACCAGAAGAAATTAACTATCACTGCCGACATAGGATCCTTAGTGCACTTGCGGACAATCTTTATGACATATATTATGAGTTCAAAAGTGCTAAAGATCTATAGAATGCTCTTGAAGCAGAATATGACTTTGATGATACCGGAATTCTGCGTTTCACATCCTCTGCCTTCAATAAGTTCATGATGGTTGATGACAAGACTATAAATGAACAAATTCATGAATTCCAAGATTTTATTCGTCACCTCCAATCAAAGGGAAACGCTTTTACTGATGATTTTAAAGTTTCATGTCTGATTGACAAACTCCCTCCTTCCTGGTCTAGATTTGCAGAAGATCTCTGACACAAGCAAAGAGATCTAACATTAACTGAAGCTTTCAAGGCTATTCACATTGAAGACCAACATAGACAAATTTCCAAAAACCAAGACTGATATGAAAGCTATAGTGAACTTGGTAAAAGATAAGTCTAAATCTAAGAATTTCAAACCCAAGGGGAAGAAATTCAAGAAAAACCGGCAATCATTCAATAAATCATCTTTCAAATCAAATCCCAATTCTTCCAGCCATAAGTCTGATGGAAAGTTCTGCTATGTCTGTGGTAGAACCAACCACTTGGCTCCCAACTGTTTCTATCAGAAAAAAGAACCAACAAAACCTGCTCCAAAAGGAAATGGATCTAATAAAGTAAACATGATTGAAGAAAATCCAAATTCCTTCAGGTTAGCTTCTTCTTTCTATCTTGTAAATTCCCTTACCTCCTCCACTGATTGGTACTTGGATTCTGGAGCTAATATTCACGTTTGCAATATTCGTTCTTGGTTTTCAACTTACCAGGAATCACGTGGAAAAAACATAAGCTTAGCAGATGACTCCACCAAACAAATAATTAAAAGTAAATACATAGAGCTTACCATGACTTCTGGAAAAGCTCTAAATCTGTAAGGCGTTCATCATGTTACTTCTCTCCGCCGAAACTTGATCAGTGAATCTCTTCTTCGTAGAGCTGGCTTTGGATTATAAAGGAATCCAATAAATTTACGATTACAAAAAGTAATGTATTCATAGAAAAAAGTTTTATTTGTAATGACATTTTCAAGCTTAATGTAATCAATTCCAGTCTAATGAAATTCCTGAATCTTCTGTTGCACAAATTGTTGAATCTTGTGATGTTTAGCATGGATGACTTGGACATGTAAATTTTTAAACTTTGCAGAGAATAATTAAATTGAATCTCATTCCTAAATCATCTTATGATTTTGTGATATTTATAGACGATCACTCCAAATATTGTTACACCTATCTTCTCAAAACTAAGGATGAAGTTTTAGATAGGTTTAAGGTGTATAAAACTGAATCTAAGAATCAACTTGAAAAGAAGATCAAGATTTTAAGATCTGATTGTGGGGGGGGGAGTATACCTCAAATGAAATGTCTGAATATTGCCAAGAGCACGATATTATTTATGAGGTAACTGCTCCTTATACATCACAATCTAACGAGATAGCTGAACGAAGGAACAAAACTCTTATGGACATAGTGAACTGTATGTTGCTCAGTTAAGGAGCACCTAAAAATCTCTGGGGTGAAGCTCTTCTTCCTGCTTGTTTCATTCTCAATAGGATTCCCCACAAAACTTCTGATATAACTCCTTATGAATATTGAAAGGGGAGAACTCCTAGATTTAACTTTTTCCGGGTTTGGGGTTGCTTGGCTAAGGTAGCTATTCACGAACCTAAAAAGAGAAAAATTGGATCTAAAACTGTTGATGTTGTATTTATTGGATATGCATTAGATAGTAATGTTAACATATTTCTAGTCATTAATTCTGAAATCAGTGACATATCCAACAATACTATCATTGAAGCAAGAGAGGCGGTCCACTTTAAAAAAATATTTTCTTTCAAATCCAAAATCTTAGAAAATCCTAGATCATCTCTTCCTTCTGATCTACCATCTTCTAGTTCTTCTCAACTTCTAGATATTGAACCTCGAAGAAGTAAAAGAGGTAAAATTTAAAAGGATTTTGGAGAAGATTTCTTTACATTTCTTGTTGAAGGTGATCCAAACTCCTTTAAGGAAGCAATAAATTCTCCTGAATCTTCTTTTTGAAAAGAAGCCATTGATAATGAAATAAAATCTATAATGAAAAACTATACTTGGATACTCATCGACTTACCGTCAGGTTGTAAACCTGTTGATTGCAAGTGGATATTCAAGAAGAAACTTAGAGTTGATGGTTCCGTTGACAAATATAAAGCAAGATTAGTAGCTAAAGGCTATACTCAGCAAAAGGGCATCGATTTCTTCAACACATATTCTTTTGTAGCCCGAATCTTAACTATCTAAGTATTATTAGTCTTTGCTGCTATTTATAAGTTGATCATACATCATATGGATGTCAAGACAATTTTTCTGAATGGTGATTTAGATGAAAAAATTTATATGAACCAACCTGAAGGCTTTGTTGTCAAAGATCAGGAAAATAAACTCTGTAAACTTGTTAAATTTTTGTATGATCTAAAACAAGCTCCTAAACAATGACACCAGAAATTTAACAAAATCATTGCATAATATGCCTTTGCTGTGAATAAACACGATAAGTGTGTATACACTAAAGTGATAAACAATGACTATATCATCCTCTGTCTCTATAGTGATGATATCCTTATCTTTTGAACAACTCTTGAAGTAATCTTAAATGTTAAGAATTATCTCTCCAAGAACTTTGACATGAAAGACTTTGGTCTTGCTGATATGATACTTGGAATGAAAATCACTAAAGATACTAGAGGAATATCATTTGGTTTTTCTCATAGTATTGAGAAAATGTTAATCAAATTCAAATTTCATAACTCTAAACCTGTCTCTACACCTTATGACTCTTCTATATCATTAAAAAAGAATGAATGTGAATCTGTCTCCCAGCTGAAAATTCTCAGCTGATTGGATCTCTCTTGTACATATCCAACCGAACTAGACCTGATATAGCTTATGTTGTAATGAAACTGAGCTGGTATACTAGCAACCCTAGCAAAGATCATCGGTTTGTCTTAGAGAGAGTATTTAAATACTTAAAAGGCACAGTTGACTATTGCTTGATTTACACTGGATACCCTGATGTAATAAAAGGGTACAGTGATGCCAATGGGGTCACAGATTTCAACAATATAAAATCTATATCTGGATATATATATTTTTTGATGGTGCAGTTGTATCCTGAAAATCCTGTAAGTAAACAGTAATTACCAGGAGTACCATGGAGTCTGATTTGATTGCACTTAATACCACTTACACAGAAGCAGAATGGTTAAAAAATCTACTATCTGAATTGCCTCTGGTCCCTAAACCCTCTCCTTCAATTTCTATTCACTCTGATTCTAAATCCACCATAGAGCTTCTAAAGCAAGTGCATGTTAATAAAAAAACTTAACAAACAAATTCAAATAAGATATAAATATGTACAATGCCTACTAGGTAAAGTTGTGATTCTAGACTTAATAAAGTCTGAAAAGAATCTTACTGACCCATTGACTAAGGGTCTATCTAGGAGTGAGGTTTTGGATTCATCGAGGGAGATGGGGTTAAGCCCATAAATGAGATCACTGACAGTAGAAACTCAACCTTTATTTGGAGACGTAATCCCAATATAGGTTCAATATGGTTAAAACAACCTAGACTAGTGACAGAACATCGACCTAGATATATTCATATATCATTATGGTAGCATTTACTACTACCCCTTCTCTATGATGACGATGCTTTTATGATACAGCTGGTTAGGTTGAGTTTTACTCTTAACAAGTCCAACGCATATATTATGAAGGGTATGATATCCAGCTGTAGTACAGGACTTGTCTACGTGAGAGGAATCATGATGGCCGCGGTTGGGGGGTGGAGAGCAGGACTAACCTCTAGAAACTCTCATGAGTCGGTTATTGTGAGCATGACCTTTAACGCTCAACCCGCTTTATTCAATAGATAAAGACGTATTGTGTGTGATTCCACTAATACCTTGTACAATGGGCCTAATTCAAGGCCTAATCTATTATGTCCCTCAGGTTGAGATGAACCCACTAAGAAAATGTTCAAAGCCGAAAGCTACCTCCTCCGAAATTCACGATACGAAGTGTTACCCAACCTATATTTATTTTGTAATTTATTGACTTATTTAATTATGAGTTTTCAGTCAAAAATTGCCTTTTCGGGGGGACTGCTGGCTATGTTGTAAGAAAATGCAATTTTCCTTCAAACAATAGTCCCATATTACCTAGCATAGTGAATGTTTGGTGGTTTAAATTGGCTCTCTTCTCTTTACTACTTGATAGTCCCAAAGAAGGGGTGTTTTGGGTATTCAACGTGTTTGGGCTTTGCATCACAAACACGCACGCGCGCCCGCCACGCCACGCCGCGTCGCGCGTCTGCCCGTCTTGCCGGTTTTTTGATTTTTTTTAATTTTAATTTTTCCTTTTGATTCGGCAATTAGCAACGACTAACACGTTTTGCACGTTTTGATCATGCGCACGGTTTGCACGTTTTGGAGAACGTGGGCGAACGTGACGGAGAGTTACAACAGATTTGGGTTCTAAAACCCTATAAATGTAGAGGCCATTTCAGTTCGGAAGACACAGCACAACGGAAAAGAAAATCATCTCTAATACTCTTCCTCCTCTCAATAACTCTGCTGTTACTTACTGCTATTATTTAAAATTTTCATTAGACAATCCTCTTCATCTGAGAAAGAAACTCTATACTCTCACTCGAGTACAGAGGCCAGCTGTTTCCGGGGGCTTTTACCGTTAGGGGAGACGGGATCGACAGGACGATAGGCGGGTCCTAGGACAGTGCTTGCGCGACTGCTTCCTGTATCAGGCAAGATTTTCTGTTTATTTTATTTTCGGATTTATTTTCTAAGTTAAAGTAATATTCAACTAACAAAAAAATACAGGAAAAAAATTTATTTGTTTGCTAACATCTAGACCCCATAAGCATGCTACATTTTATTTGCATTACAAGCTAGAATAGCTTAAAATATCAAAACTCGCTTCTAATTAAGGATACAGTTCCTACGATCTATTACTCAAGATTTTATTCTGCTTAAAATTAGGGTTTGCAGCTAACTGGAGTTTGGGAATAAACAAATTCAAAAGCCCTAAAAATTAGGTAAACAACAATAATAAATAATAAAAATTGAATCTTTAAGGGGGTAGAGAGAGAGAAGATCTCAAACCTCAGAGAGAAACCTCGCTATCAGAACGGGAAATCTTCGTTGGGCAATTCGAACGGGATTGAAGAAAGAAGAAGGAGCTTTAAGATTCGTGCGGTCTGATGAAGACGATGGGTCCTGATTATTGGATTCGTTAATGGGCCCCGCTTTAGAACGATTCGACCCGAATTCGCTGGCTTTGATTATTATGAGGCCACATCTTATAACTTTTTTTTGTTGGATTATTATTGTTATTATGGGACTTAGATAATTGAAATGTGATAATAGGCCTATAAGTTGGAAGTGGTGAGTCATAGTTGGAAAAAGAAATATTAAAAAAAGGAAAAGGAATTTATTCTTTAATAATATACAGAAATGCTATATATGTCCTAGCAAAAATGAAATGGAAATTATTTGCGTTTGTGGTAACGATTTGCATCCCTTTTATTTGAATTACAATGTCTAATTCATTATTATATCCAATGAACTTCAAAGAATCATGAACAATTTCATTTGTTTTTTAATGTTAAGTTATTTGTAACATTAGCAATAATGCAACCCAGGTTCAAATCCCAGAGGCTACACATTTAAAGCAAAGTAAAAAAAAAAAAATTTGTTTTACCGTGAATATAGATTTCAGCCTTTTAAGGGTGCTCAGTTCAAGAAATATACTAGAATATTAGCTATAACCGTCAACCTTTAACATAACTTTAAAATTTTCTATAAGATGAAAAGGATGTATAATAGAAACAAGGGAGAGATTAAGGCCTAGCATGAGTGATAAGAGCCGCTTAGGGTAGCCAAGGAGACTGCCTATGAACCCCCATATAAATGAGATTTAGTCACATTTTGAGAACTACTAGCAACATAGGCAAGTCATCCTTGGCTACCAAAGATATATAGCCTCTTATCTTCATGCGAGGCCTCTCTCCCACTTCACATGCTCTTCACTAATCTTGTATTTTGATGCTTATATTGCTCTATTTATAGTAACAACTCGCCACATCCATATCTTTTTTTTCCAAGAAAAATATATGTTCACGTGTTGCTTGGGACCTCCTTTAATTTTAAAGGGAAACTTTCGTGGGTAAGGGGATGGATGATACGGAAGAGAAGCCAATTTTTCAACGTAGAGATGTGTTTTTGTTCCTGTCATATAATAATTCAACAAAATTCCTTCCGAAATTTGTAACGGTTTGCAGAGAGTGAAAATCCTCCTGATTTTGTAATTGAATTAGAGATATTCCTTCTGAATTGTTTCAATTGGTTAAGCACCGCGACTAATGACGGTTAGTCTAAATCGCCACGTGTTTCACTAGATAATTTTACTTTTACATATTTATTTACTACTAGGTTTTATACACGTACAATGCACGTGGTTAAATAACATGATTAAGTATATTTGACTTATTTTCTAACTAAAATTTGTTCCTCAGTTCCACTTTAATAATTTATGCTCACTTTTGTCTCTAAACTTTAATATTGCGATTAGTTATTATCTTTGATGTTTGTTTAAATAGACCACACTCAATTTAAATTTTCATTTTAATATTTGAATTGGTAGAAAACAAATATAATTTGAAGCTAATTTAAATTTTCATATTATTTTGACTGACATGAAACCAAGTTTTACTTGAGAAAGCATAATGTTGCAAAAGTGAAAAATATTAAAACAATATTATACAAGGAAGATGAATATGTAAAACCAATAAGACAAAATAATTGCTTAAAAGCAGGCTAAAACGATACAAAAGAGAATATAAAGTTTATTCCTAATCATTAATAGACTTTATAAAAAATTATAAATTAAAGATTAATGCTAACTCTAGTATACTTTAATATGATAAAAGTATTTGCAAAACATATAAAAGTACTGAAAAAAGCTCACGAAACTCCCTTCTAAATATTTCTAAAATCACTCAAAATAATTAAAATATTCTATAAAATATTTAGAAAATATTATCTTTTATTCCTTCTGTTTTAATTTTTCACTGAGCTAATATCAATCATTCCTCACCTTTATCTTTTTTTCTGGGCAGTTCTAGAGTAGTATCTTCATCATCTACTCGATTATGATATCTTTGGTTTATAAACTTAACAACAATAGTTTATATCTTTGATCAAGTCTATAAAATTATTTTACAAAGTTTTAAAACTTGGTTTATGTCAAAACATCAAAATTCAAGTA